GTCTGTAAAAACATGGATGCTTCACATACATCTCCCCCCGGCAGCACAGAAGATCTACACAATAGTTTCAAGGTGGGCACCTAAGATTAGTGTCACCATTTCAGTATCTGACTAAATGTCTTCCCTTCTGTTCCTCAGATATGATGTTGAGTAATGGCCAGAAAGGTGTTTTAGGCAAAATATGATGATGTCACAGTGAAGTTGACCTTTGACCTTTTAGATATAAAATGTCACCACTTCACCATTATATGCTTATAGACATTTGTGTGAAGTTTTGTCATGATTTGCCTAAGAATTCTTGAGTTACGGCCAAAAATGTGTTTTGTGAGGTCACATGGACCTTGACTTTGACCTTCAACCACTACATTCTAATCAATTTATTCTTCAGTCCAAGTAAACGTTTGTGCCAAATTTTAAGAATTAACCTCATGGTGTTCTTGAGATATGTTCACGAGAAACAAAGTCACAGTGACCTTGACGTTTGACCACTAAAATCCAATCAGTTTATCGTTAAGTCCAAGTGAATGTTTGTGCCTTATTTAAAGAAATTCCTTTAAGGCATTCTTGAAATATCACAGACATACTGACAAATGTACAGACAGACTGACAACCTGAAAACATACTGCCTCCAGCTATAGCTATTGCTATAGGCTATTGCCAGCATGGAGCCATAAAAATCAGAAAATACACTTGACATGTTCTTTTGGTATCTTGAACAGAGGCTGCCCTTTGGGTTTGTATGCTGCATGTTTAGCATACTCTGGTATTCTTGTGTGTTACATTAAATTAGATACAATTGAAAACAAGACTAAAGAGACTGAGTCAGGCCATGCAGTGCTTTGAGCTAATACTTGCATGGTAACATACTTACATTAAATATCAAGCTGATGGGGATTCCATCAGTTTTTCAGGGAAGGCCTGTCTGGTCACAAATTACAAAATACTGGACCAACTGAAATGCTGACCTGATGATTATGATGGAAAAAGATGAGTAAACCACCAAAGTCAGTAGGATTCATTGTCTGACCATGAATGTCGAAAAATGTCATGGTAATCCATCCAATTTTGTTTAAATATTGAGTCTGCACAAAAGTGGTGGAATGACAGATCAACCAACCAACTAGGCCTGGGTATCAGTACTCAATTTCTTTTAGCTATCAACTGAAATAACACAGAATGCCTGCATTTGACCCTTTTTTTCACCAGAGGTCTGATCCCAGACTGTCCTGACTCCCCGCCGGATCAGCAAACTTTCTGTTGCTGCTGTCTCCTGAGTCACTCTGGTCAGTGTGATATTTGGCTAGTTAGCATGAGCTAACACAGCAGTAGGCTAACAACCAAAACTGAGCCATTAACAGTCTCAACAAACTTACACCAACACTGAAACTTTTCTTTTGTTAAACCCATTAATAACTGTTGGGTTGCGTTACCCATGTAATGCTAATAATTATCCCTGTCACAGTGTGTATGCGGCTGGGCGTACTCTCACCAACTGTCCCCAGGACAAAGTTGGCACAGTGTAGCAACTCTTTTCCAGGCAGAATCGCTCAGTACAAATTAGTAAGATGACTTATCAGTGCTGAGCTGAGTTTTTGGTGCTGACTCATTACATCAGTGAATTATAACAGTCAGTGGTGTAATAGTGTCTCTGGAGTATTGCACTAGCACTCAGTATCATTGTAAACTATCCAATCGTATAAAAAAAAGGTGTATACACAGTATACTGTACATACTGCATATTATGAATTCTATTTTAGTGTGGATTTTTAATGCTTCTGTAACATTATGATCAACAGATCTTTCAGCTCAATATGTCCTTCTTTCTCTCACACCTCTCTGACTCTAATGCTTCCCACTCAGTTCGACTCTTTGTCTCGCTACTGCTATCGATCTCCATGCCACCCTGCCTACTCCAGCTGACCCTCTTCCACTTTCTTCTCTCACTCCTCCACATTCTCCTCTCTTCCCTGTATTGCTTTTGCACAATTTCTCTGTCATTGTCTCATTTTCTCCTCTTCCACCTCATTCTGCCTCTGTCTTCTTCACCCTCTGTTTCTGTATTCTCCTCTTGTCTCCTTTCATTTCGTCTTCCTTCCCCTCTGTCTTTTTTTTTTCGTCCTCAACACCCCTCTCACACTGTCCAGCACTCACCTCAACCTCTCCTTCCTCTCCCTGTCATTCACATTATACTGCCTGCTATATGTTCCCTCTCTCACCACTTTATATTCCCCTTGTTGTTATATTTTACAAGGATAAGTCGTGATTTTTGGAAGTAAACAACTTGTAGGCGTCCTAGGGGAGCACCCTGCTGCTGTGCTCTGCTTTCAGTCTAAAATGAAATGTGGTCCCAGTGCTGGCCTGTGCATTTGCCAGACTTTGACATAAATGCCAAGGAAGCTTTGTGACAGCAGGGGATTAAAAAGCAACAAAAAGAAAAAAGGAAATGGCAAACAAGGACATACAGTGTCATGCAGAAAATGTGTATCTGCAAGTCTGTGGCTGTATTCATATATAGCTAATATTCTTGTTAATGTATTTTATGCAGATGCCATGTCATGTTATCTGTTGCTAATAATCTTGAGGGAAGTAACTTTAAACATGGCTGTGTCTAACAACCGGGCCATTGCATTCGCACCGCCAATAGAAACACTGGAATAATGCAAGATGGCCAAAGCCTGTTTTGTTGTGATGAGTCAAAACTGTATTTATGTGTTTATGTATGTATTTCCTTTGTTGCATACATGCTCAGTAAATCCCAGCCTTCACTGTCAGTCCATTCATCCCTGTTTTCTTCTGATCTTTTGTTGCAAGCTGTTGTTTGTGTTTTGTGTTGTCTGTTGTTTACACAGCTAACAGGTTTTTAAAAATGGTGGTTGCTGGTGCTGCATTGGCTCATGTGTTAGACCATTCACTGTACACTTACATCACTGAAGGTTCCTCTGGTGCTAGGAGAGTATGTACTCTCAAATAGGAGATAAAAAATCCCCCAGAATGGTGTCCTAAGAACTACAATCATTCCTAGAGCGTGTGAACACAATAAAAATGGGCTTTCTTAGGCCCTGTCTACATGCGTACCAAATTTTTTTGCGAGTGGCTATTTTCAGCCTCGGTTTTACAATGTGTTTCTTTCCACTTTTCACACTAGAACACAAAAACGACTCCAAACGCTGGCCGGTGTTCGCTGTCTTCAGTAGTCTCCCCTTGTCTCAGTGGTAGTAAAGGCTAATGCTACCTTTTTTCAAAACACCTATTGGAGATCTCTGTTGTTTCTCATTTGATATAATGGTTACAGAGTTCAATCAAAGAAATCAGTGATACGCTAAACACGCAAACTTTTGCTTCCACTCCTCATCGACTACAAATCAACAGTGGAAAATGTCCCACCAAGGACTGCTGGTTTGACTGGGCCTGATCCAAAACAGTGATTTCTGGCAGACTTCAAACCGCAGATGCTTAGGTGGAGCAAAAAAACTGGGGGCAGCAGATGCCTCTGCTCATCCCTGATGTGGTGCAGCAATACTTTGCTGCAGTGTAAAGTAGTCATTAGATCAAGCAGTGCTAACAAAACATTAGCAAACACGTAGTTGTCCATTTTTGTTGTTGTATGCTTATGAGGGGCGGCTGTGGCTCAGAGGTAGAGTGGGTCGTCCACCAATTGGAAGATCAGCGGTCGATCCCCGGCTCCTCCAGTCTGCATGTCGAAGTATCCTTGAGCAACATACTGAACCCCAAATTGCTCCCGATGATGCTTCCATCGGTGTGCGAGTGAGTTAAAAACTGAGTAGCAGGTGGCACCTTGTATGGTAGTCTCCGCCACCAGTGTATGAATGTGTGTGTGAATTGGTGAATGTGACTCGTTGTGAAAAAAGGGCTTTGAGTGGTGGAGGTCCATTTACTAAGTAAACGTAGTAACAATGGGCATTCACAAAACAAGGAAATGACATCATTGTTTCTCAAATGCTCCGTTTTACATGTCCAGACCAAGCGGCAACCTCCAGGGATGACAGTGAAGCCAATGCGGAAGTGCCAAAAACTGCAGTTCGCTGAATGGCCACTTGAGGCAGGCTCCAAAAGCGAGTCAATCCCCATAGACCCCCATGTTAAATGCTTAACTTTAAAGCAGAAATAAACGTGTTTACAGCCTGGTACAAAAAAAAAAAAAACGGTTTCGGTCTCTATAGTTAATTTCCCCTTTCATGACAACTACGGGGGTGAATTTTTTTTTATAACTCATCCGTTTAAATTTTATTAAGGCTTAAAGTTGTGCATAATTAAGGGCATGGTCACTTTGAGTGACAGTTGGCGCCATCACAGGTGGCTAAGTAGCCGCTGGCTGGCTGCTAGGCATCATCTCAGCTAATTTGCAAGTCATTGAACCTGACCTCTCAGCCGTGTTTGTGCCTTTTGTATATTTTGTTTCGTGAGGGAGCTGGTACCAAGCAGGAGCATGAGCGGGAGCAGCCAACACCACAGGGCTAGCCAAAGTAGTGTAGCTTGTTAGCCTTAGCTAACTTAGCAGCTTCGAGCGAGGTGGGCGTGTTTAAGCAACCAGGCTTCATTTGGCCGGCCTCTTTGCCCATTTTTGATGGGCCGGGAGTTGGGCAGAGTTAGGCTCTGCCAACATGGTGATGGCCAGAGCCGCCAACTTTGAGCTTCAAACCCGCTCTTCAGAAACCAATGGGTGACGTCACTGTGACTACGTCCATATTTTTATACAGTCTATGGTCCAGACAAACAAACAACAAGCATAGTTTTAAAAAATTCTGCACCTTAGAAGTCATTTTTTAAAAATCTCAATTTTAGTGACCTAAAACTAAATATCTGTATACATGTAGGCACGGCCTTTGAACTTTGTTGTTAGATCTATGACAAATTTCCTCTGGTCTGAAAACGTTTATATTCTCAGTAAATTTTGAACAGATGTCAAACCTGTGGACATTTGAAGCCATATCATCATAAATGTGTTCTGACCCTGATGAACATTCTCCTGCCTCCTCCAGGTGGTCGTCAGGGAAAGATGCCAGTGACGGCGCTGGAGGCTTTTGACCTGGAGATGAAGAGCTGGACACGTTACCCCTGCATCCCGAGCCGGAGGGCCTTTTCCTGCTGTGCCACAAATGATCGGAGCCTCTTCAGCCTGGGGGGCCTCCAGCAACCGGGGCCGCATAACTTCTACTCCAGACCTCACTTTGTCAGTACCATGGAGGAATATGATCTGGATCAAGGTAAGTGGTAACATTTAAATACTCCTTTAAGGCAGAACTTATGATCCAACTGCCTATATTAAGCACCTGAAACTTTCCTGGTGAGCCGGCACACACAGTCGCATACACAGAGCTGACTATTGGTGACTGCCTACTTTTCTGCAGGGGTGACTGTCATCTCCCTCACGTTTATCTTCCTCCCTGCATCCCTCCCTCAGCCAATCAAGTCAAGTCAAATTTAGCTTTATAGCACATTTGAATAAAAAACATGTGCTGACCAAAGTGCTTTACAAACATAGGCAACATAAAAACAGGTCAACAAAGCAGACAACAAAATCATGCACACACCAGGCAGGGAAAAAAGAAAATTGATGAGTAATGCAAAAACTAGTAAACAACCATTATAAGAAGCCAATTAGTGTTCGTGATTCAAGTACATTCAGAAGCCAAAGAAAAGAGGTTGGCCTTGAGCTGTGCTTTTAATGACTCAGCAGAGGGGGAGAATCTGATGTGGTGGGGTAGTTTCTTCCACAGACCGAGAATGTGCGGTCGGCCCTCAGCTTCCGCTGAGCCCAAGGGACTGGTCGGAAGACCTGAGTGACCTGGGTGGGTTACAGGGAATTAAAAGATCAGATAAGTGAGAGGGAGCCAATCCATGAAGTTCTTTATCAACAAATGCAGTAGTTAACTCTTTAACAGACAGAGAGTCAGTGGAGAAAGGCGAGCTTTTGGGAAATATGCTCGTATTTACGTGAACCAGTTAAAAACTTTGCAGCAGAATTTTGCACATACTGCAGGCGTGACAACGAGGACTGACTGACTCCCATGTACAAGGAGTTATAGCAGTCAAGGCAAGTGGTAACTAAAGCATGGAATCATCATCTGATACCTGGCTGGGCCCTGTGGCTCCACCTGCCCTTTTACTGTTGTGTTGTAGCAACATCGTGTTAACGCTAACAAACATAGTTGTTGCTGACTCACTGACATTAAAATCCTCAGAAATAGAAGCATCTAATTCTTAGAAATTACTCGTCAGACCCTCCAGAATTTTCTGATTACAACAGTTAACGCAAATTCAGCCGATTTCTGCTCACTGCAGAAAATGTCATTTCATTGTAGGGCTGTGCACATGTACTGATCCACTCAGCCCTGTCTTGCTCCTCTCCCTCTGTTTTTCATGAGACTTCTGCTGCGCCTGGAGCAGAGTCACTCACAGTGACAGGGATAACTGTTAGCATCACATGGCTAATGTAACCCAGTGTTAATTAGCAGATGTAATGACTGGGTCAAGCCATTAGTGTCAGTGTTAGCAGCGCCATAACGCAAACACATGAGCCCCGCGCAGCTTCCTGCAGCAAAGAGCAGGCGAGTTTTAACATCTTTCAAAGAGTGGGTAGTTATCATTTCAAATGCACAACAACAATTAATAAACCACTTTAGAACGCTGGACACAGGTTATTGTATTGAGTAACTGTTGGACCTTGTTAACTTTACAAACTTTAAAGTGTCACAGCTGCTGTCAAGTGTTTGAAGGCACACCAAGCTCTCTTTTACCTGACAGTGAAGCTGCAGGGTGCATGATGGTCTCTGTCTCTCATCTGATGCTAACACTAATGCGGTGTCTGCCTCATATGTAATGTAGCCTATTCTACCTGTTGTTCACTGTCTTTACAATCAGGTAGGCCTGTTTCATCCAGGTGCCTCTAAAACCTCTAAAACTTTGAACCAGCAAAGAATTTTTCTAACATATTTGTTTTATTTTATGCAAATATTGGCATCATATGCAACATATGATGTGCAGAAAAAATTAAAACTTATTTTTTTAAAAAATGTTATCATAGTAGAAAAAAATGCCTAAAATATTCCAATACGCATGCAATTTTTTTTTTAGAAAAGTACGAAGTATATATACACATTATCCATCTCACAGCAACATCGCTGTAGTTGTGATATGACACAGTGTGAATAACATTTTATCCATCATTCTATAAATAATGATGGTTAATTTAAATATCCAGTGTATAGGATTTAGGGGGATATATTGATAGAAGTGGAATATAATATAGTAAGTGTGTTTTTTCACTGCATAATTGTCTGAGACTAAGAATCATTTTGTTTTCAATACTTTAGATTGAGCCAAACATATATGAAGCGAATCCTCTTCCACAGAGTCCGCCGTGTTGCACTGCCATGTTTCTGCAGTAGCCCAAACCAAACACTGGCTCTAGATTGGGTCATTCACATTTTTGTGTTGGCCTTCATAGCTCTCCTACACACTTGGCTCACGGGAAAAGTTTCAGCTGGTGATAATCTGCAATTTCACAGCTAAATGCCACTAAATCTTCCACATTAGACCTGTCAGTAATAACATTACTTTTACTAATTAATTACCGTATAATGTGGTAGCATGAGTGGCTGATTCAAGTTTCACTGTCAAAGTTTTTTATTCATTCTCAGAACTGACTACAAGGCGGGAATGTTGAGTAGAACAAAGCATGCTAACAAAGCTTGTGGAGTGTTGGCCATAGTGTTGGCAATAGTCAAAAACAAAGGAATGGAGAAGTCATACGCTCACATTCCTCCAAGACTGGAGCTTTTTCAGGGCATTACTGTTTGAAGTCTACACATGGAAAGATATGATGTAAATGGAAATGATGATTTCTTGATGATTTAATTTTAGGGAAATTGTTATAGAACCAATTCCTTCTTTGTTTATTGATTTGGATACATGAGAGGAGATAGGCTGCTTTGTGCACAGCTCAAAAGAACTGTTGGTTGGTTCATCTCCACCCTGGAGCACTTTGAATGGAGTGAGAGCATGTGTTCTGTGCTCACAATGCACTCCAAATATAGGAAGATTATGCATTAGTTGAGTCAGATCATATCAAAGCTGATGGTGATGCAGATATAGAAAGTTCTTTCATGCACCAGATTTCTGGCCAGTGACAGAAACAAACGGATGCTCAGATGGGGCTTCATGCTGATGAGTTATGGCTCGTGTGAAATGTTGCTGCATCAAAAATAACTGAACGAATGCATAAACGCACTGTGGGAAATGTGTCTGCTGATTTAGATGAGCCAAATCAGTCGCTGCATACCTGTGAGTGACTCTGTATGCCATACCCATTCCTTTTACTTCAAGGCTGCATTTTAATGCACTGCAAAAGTTTAGCACCTGAAACAAAATAATGTATTACCTTGAGAACAGGATGATTTGGGCTATGATAGGCCTTGATGAGCCCACATTATTATTTTATATTACTTTTCCTGCAAATCCCATTTTAAGCAGCATGAAACAGAAATGTGAGCCTTCATCATATATTAGGCTGTAATTATGTCTGTTATTAACAAGAAGGAGACACCTGATATGCCAGATGGGTTTCAACAGCTCTCTGAAAGAGTATAATCTTTCGGAGAGAGATTGAGAAAAATCGTGTCCCTCTTGGTGCCATGAATTTTAAGTAAACTTTAGGGGATTTTCATGGCCTCTAGAAGGGTTGGCAGAAGGGTTTAACACTGGCAGCACAGATAAAAAGTATTTCTGCTGTAGCTCTATTTAACAGAGTGTTTTGGTATTTGTGTAATGTTATAGGAATGTTGATGGGAGTGTGTCCTCTTGACTTTAAATGGACAGTTTGGATGTGAAGTGGGGTTTTATGAGGTTCTTATCCATAGTCAGTGTGTTACATACTGTAGATGGTGGTCGGCACACCCCCAGTTTGGAGAAGCAGGCAGGAGTAATGACACTGAAGCGAAGCAATGTGCTGCTGTGGAGGGGGAAACAACAAAATGGATTTTGGCCACCTAAATAAAGTCCCACATTGAAAAATAATTATTGGTTTAAGTGTACGCGAGTATTTTTTTCTGCTTTACCTTGCCGTAAGACTGTTGTTATTTTTCTCTCTTGAAATCCAGACTCTGTCGAGAGAAACAGTAATTTAACATCACTGAACACAGGTATTACAGATCTACTGCTGCCTCAATCACTTAGTTTGTTTGTGTTTTTGTGTTACTTTGGTGTTTAAAAGGGTTAGTTTGGAGTCACCAAAGTTACACAATAACATAAACGTACTTACTGATCGAGGCAGTGGTAGACCAGCAGCTCCTGTGTTCAGTGAGCATTGCTTGCTGAATTGCTGTTTTTCTCAATGGAGTCTGGTGGCTTTGATGAGAGCATGGATAGGGAGCTGAACACATTAATGGCTTCTGAAATGGCTGTCTGCGGCAAAGTAAAGCAGTGGAAAATATTCTAAATATAGCGTACACTTAAACTGTTCTTTTTTTTCTGATGGGAGCATTTTTTTAGGTGGCTAAAATACATCCAGTTGCCACCCTCATCCACAGCAGTACATCGCTTAGCATCTGTGGCAGTACTCCTGCTTGCTTCTCCAAACTGGGGGCTTACTGACTGACATCTACTGTATGTAATACACTTACTTCAGCCTCATACAACCCCACTTCAAAAGATCCAAACTATCCCTTTAACTGCAGTTCATTTAGCCAACTCTGTCAGTGCGCCACAGATGGTAATGCACAAGCAAACTGAACAGGTCTCTTTACATTTGTCAGATCTGAAAGAAACATGGCAAAATCTTTGTTCATCAGTCAAAAACAATGGCTGATTTAGATCTAGAGCTTCTGCGACCAAAGACAGCCCACTTCAAAATTCTGAGTGTGAGAAAATCCTCCAAAGAAAAATGTGAGTATCAGTCATTTTGGCAAATGCCCCAAAAGTGACAAGCCATCTTGTGTAATGTTATTATAATGTCATAGTCCACAGAGGGAGGAGACCAGGGTCCAAAATGTTGGACGTTAACACAGGCGACCGCTGTTTGATAACTCCATGACTGTAACTGTAAGATTTTTAACCATTACAAAAAATGATCATAATGTTCCCCTAACCTTAAAAGAGCACAAAGCATTGAATTCCTTTGACACTGTCAGATACAGAATGAGCAGTTTAAAAAAGGACCAACATCAATGCAGCACCAGTGATATTGTGTTTGTTTCCCCTGGTATTT